CTCCCAAAGGTGACCTGATTGCACTCTTGCTGTCCTGGCGCCACTGCAGGCACAGCTAATACCAGGACCAGGATTCAAACTCATGCCACCAACTCCCAAAACAGCGCTCTGACCCAATGAGCTGCATGATGGTTGGGGGAGTACTGGCATGGAAATATGGCTATGGGATGTTGTCAAGTAAATAAAGTACAATCATCAAATGGCATGGATAGTACAATCCCTTTATATTATGGTAATAATATTTTTTTTACAAAGGTTTTTTTTTACAAAGGGTTATTACATGGTAGTCTCAAATGGCAGAAGTATCCAAGCAATGGAACTGCCTCAAAAGTGGTCCCTCAGGGGTAGGTGTCCCGCACAGTGGTTAAGCTGCTGCTTGGGATGCCTACATCCCATATCAGAGTCCTGAGTTCGAGTCCTAATTCTGCTCTTGATTCCAGCTTCCTGCTCATGTGCACACTGGAAGGCAGCAGGTGATGACTCAAGTACCTCAATCCCTGACACCCACCTGGGAAACCCAGGTGGGAGTTCTGGGATCCTGGATTCAACTTGGCCCAGCTCTGGCTGTTGTGGACATTTGGGAAGCGAACCTGTGAATGGAAGATCTCTTTGTCTCTGCCTTTCAAATCAAACTAAATAGATAGATGAATAAATACAATATTATGAAAAAGCAATCCCTCATTTTTCAAGAATCGCTGTTGAAATGGATGAAGAAGGACAACTGCAGAGATTTGCTACAGGGCCCTGTGGGGTGGGGTGCACTGATCACAGGGGATGGATGCATGGCCCTGAGAACTGTATGCATCTGTAATATCAACGTCGAATGGTGATCATGGGAGGACCCCTGGTCCGCCGGCTCCAGAACCCACACAATGGGAACAGACTCCTGAAGGTTTCCAGGAGACGTCCAGGGGACGGGGGTCACATCTTCCCCTTATTTCTCTTGCTCTCAGATAACTCCACTGGGGGAACATCACGGGACCGGGACATTCCCGGTCGACTTTCCTTAGGTGCAAGGACACCTTTCATTTTTAGTCTGGAGGGTTATAAACCAGCTGACTCACAGTGAGAGCCCCACATCATCCCAGCCCTCGAGCCCTGTGCAACCTGACCCATGCCTGCTTCCCTGGCCGCACCTCCTCTTCCTCACTGTGCCCCCGCTCTGTAACCATGCTGGCCTCCTTGCCAGGGTTCCACCTCGGGCCTCTGCACCTGCTCCTCCCGGGGCCTGGATGCTCTGCTCTGCGTGGCTCACTCTCTCCCTTCTTATGGTCTCTACCACGATATCACCTAAGCTGTCTTTCTTAGAAGTCCCCACCACCTCCTGATCTATACTCATTTACCATCTTTTTACAATTCTTTTATTTTGAAAGGCAGAGACCCAGAAGATATGGACACACACACACACACACACACCAATGCCCACAATGGCTGGGGCTGAGCCAGGCCAAAGAAGCCAGGAGCCAGGAACTCCATCTGGATCTTCCACATGGGTGGCAGGGGCCCAAGGACTTGAGTTCTCACCTGCTCCCTCGCCTTCCAGGGTGCTCGTCAGCAGAAAGCTAGAATCAGGAACAGAGCTTGAACTCAAGACCTGGCACCCTGCTGTGGGATGCAGGTGTCCTAAGTGGCATTTTTTTTTTTTGAAGATTTATTTTATTTATTTGAAAGACAGAGTTACAGAGAAAGGCAAAGCCAGAAAGAGAGAGGAGTCTTCCATGTGCTGGTTTACTCCCCAAATGACTGCAACAGTCAGAGCTGCACTGATCTGAAGCTAGGAGCCAGGAGCTTCTTCCGGGCCTCCCACGCAGGTGCAGGGGCCCAAGCACTTGGGCCATCTTCTGCTTTCCCAGGCCATAGCAGAGAGCTGGATCAGAAGTAGAACAGCCAGGACTCAAACCAGTGCCCATATGGGATGCCGGCACTGCAGGCAGTGGCTTTACCCACTATGCCACAGTGCCAGCCCTTCCTAAGTGGCATTTTAACAGCTGTACCAGATGCCTGCCCCATCATCCGTCTTATCTGCAGCGTCGAGAACTTGGTGGTGGGGACTGTGGCACACCGGAGAACACGTACCTGTCCAAGGGGACACCCGCTCCCCAGCCCCACTCATTGCTATCGTAGAAGAATGTGGCTCCTAAGCTTTCTGATTTTTCAGCGCAAGCCCCCGGCTCAGGCTTTCACATGGCATCTCCTGAGTCTTAAATGTCAGCTAGGAAATCACATCTTTGAAAAGCACCGTGCAGGTCGGCGGGGTGGAGGCCAGGAGAACATGTCTGCAGCACGCAGGTCTGTGAACGCACAGCCACGGGGAAATTGAAGTTCACAGAGGGTCTGATTGAACGCAAAGAGGCCGGTGTGTTTCAACAGCGAGGGTCGGAAGACAAGTACCTACGCGGACACGCATTTCCTATTTCTCCATTGTGGGCTGCACTTGCAAACAGTGAGAGGCGGCTGAGTGTGTGTGCCCACGCTTTCTTTTTCTTTCCCTATTCCATCTGCATCCCTAAAGGCTTCCGCCATCCCCGGAAAACTAGTGTTGCCATTTGCCTCTTTTATTTAGCAGGAAATTTCCAAGGGGAAATGGACTGTGAAGCCTTAAGGAGAGCCCCCTCAAGATGGGGTTTTTGGAAAAAGGGAGAGAAAGAAATACAATCAAGCACTCACAGGGAAGAAAATGAAATACTGGCAGAGCAGCAGCCATGCCAATTCTGAGCAGGTGCACAGAGGAACACTAACGGAACCCAGGAGCAGGTGAGGGAGCCTCATGGGGCAGGGAGCCTGGGAGCTTGCATAGGAGGGACTGCGGGCTCCCTGAACAGAAGGTGCTGGATGCCTGGCCGATGGCAGACTGCTACAGCCCCTTGTCTGCAGGGCACACACGCATTCTGGGGTATGGACACGAGGCCGGCACCGCAACAGGTGCAACGTGGCTGAGGATCAGCCTCCCCAACAAACGAAGGCAAACTCACGGCTAAGAGGATAAAAGCAAACTGTGTGTGTGTTGTATGTGTCGTGTGTGTTGTGTGTGTGTGTGTTGTGTGTGTGTGTGTTTTGTGGCAGGAGTTTTTAAGTCAACAAAGACCACAGCTTTTCCTCCTGTTTAATTCCCATTTCACAGTCAGGGCAGAGAAACAAGGACACGGAGTCGTTCCACAGGCAAGGACAAGGACTCTTTTTTTTTTTTTTTTTTTGAGGAAGATGAAAATTTGCAATTTACTCCCAGCCCCCTGGGACCCCCAACATGGAACAACAAGGTGAGGCCCACTTCTCGCCTGGCCCTCCGTCATCAGCAGACATGGCAGTGCAGACACGCCACGGAAAACAGACGCACGCTCCCCAGACCACAGGCCGCTCGCCTGGATGGCCCACTTTCATTCTGTAAAAGCGGTTTGGGGGCATGGAAGCGCCAGGCGGAAGCGAGGCTCGGGCCCTGTGGTGAGGCCATGCAATCTGCCCGTTTCCCAGGGGCCAGCTTAGCAACTTGACCATCACCTGCCATCTTTGGCAAATTGCACCTCTGCATAACCAGGAAGACGATCTACTCGCACACTCTGACTATAAAAGCAATGCTCTCGGGGTGAGTGCCAGGTAACCATCCTCAGGCACCCCTGGTGGGCCCAGCCTCACCTCACTCCACATCCCATTGCTCTCCTATGCCTGCTCCCCAAACGAGCCCAGCCTCACACCCACTACACTTGCTGTTCCCTCTGCCTGGAATTCTTTTCCCATTGCTGCTTCCCAAGCTGCGCTTTCTTACCCATCACCATTCAGCTGAAATGTCGTACCTAGGAGAGGCCCTCCTTCCCTCTCTCCCATACCATCTTACTGTCCTACCTTCCTGAGAACACATCAGTACCTGAAATGATCTCACTGCTTGTTCCTTTGGTTTTCTTTATGGTCTGTCTCCCGTATGGAGAATAAGAATGTAAGTTGTTTAAGAATAAACGTCTCAGCAGTTCTGTCCATTGCTCTGTCTCTGGTGTCTGGGACAGAGCCTGAAGCCCAATAACAGGTGCACGACAGATGCCTGCTCAAGGCAAAACTGGGATACACGAGGGGACTTGCCGAAGTTTGGGGAGGGGTGGGCGTTTAGCCTAGTGGTTAAGGCACAGCGTAGGAGGCCCTCATTCCATGTCGGAGTGCCTGGGTTTGAGCCTGCCTCTGGCTCCTGACTCTAAGCTTCCTGCTATACCTTTCCTGGGGGGTGGCAGGTGACGGTTCAAGTGATTGAGACCCTGCTACCCACACGTGGCTTCAGACTACGATTAGCTTCAGTGGGGCCCTGGTCCCAGCCATTGTGGGCATTTGGGGTGTGAACCAGCAGATGCGCTCTTTCTCTCTCTCTCTCTCTCTCTCTGCTTCTCAAGGAAATAAGTTTTAAAAAGTTTAAAGTGCATGGAAAAATTGAATTGAAAGATGCTTATTTTTTGCATTTTTTTCCTACTCTGTGTTCCCATGAACGTAGGAAGACTCCCTCCTATCACTGCAGTTGAGAGGATACGGCAGTCTGAGTACAATGGGAGTGAGCGGCTGGCAAAGTCACGCACTGACCACGAGGACCCTGAGCCACAGCGATTTGTGCCTGCGTTCTCTGCTGCTCACGGTGGTAACAGTGCACGTCTACATAGGCAGACAGACTGAGCGCAGCTCTGCCTGCTACCTTCCCCCCTAAACTCTGACCGAGGGCGAAGTCACTCCCTCTGGGGAGCCTTCCTGGACGCCAGTCCCCACCTCCCTTCCCCCCATGCTTTGTCCTCACTTCTCAGCTGCACTGTGCCATCGAGGGGCTATGTGGGGCATCAGACCCCAGCCTCACCGACCTGGGGACACCGGGCATCTAGCATCCAGCCCACGTGCTCATCAAAACATGCTGAGATGAACGCAGGAGGGAGGGACCCAGGGGCGAGTGAGGACAACGGCATGAATAACTGATGGAAAGTGTCCCAAGGGCCATCAGAGCCCTGAGCTCACGGCACAAGGCCATGGCCAATCCCTACCTGTGGACGATCCCCAGAAACATCCATGGTCTTGGCATCAGCATCCTCAGTCGACTCAAAATCTTCCGAGTAGTCCACGGGGGGTTCGATGTGGAGCCTCGAGCCGGCTTCTGTTCGGATCTGCACCGATCTCTATGCACAAAAATTGAGACCGCTTCAGAGACCGGGGCAGTGAACGTCTGTGTTCCTCCCAGGGACATGGACTAGCACTGGAGTGGCTGAGCACAGGAGTCTGGTGCAGCTGGGGGTCTCACACAGGCCGGCACCACGGGGGTCGGGCCACCTGGGCTCAGAAGTCTTCACTGCCTCTTACTGGAACTGCCCAAGTATGTGCCGCAGAATTCTTAAAAACAACCTTTCCGGGGCTGGTGCTGTGGTGCAGTGGGTTAAAGCCCTGGCCTACAGTGCTGGTATCCCATACGGGCATCGGTTCTAGTCCCAGCTTCTCCTCTTCCAATCCAGCTCTCTGCTATGGCCTGGGAAGGAAGTGAAAGATGGCCCAAGTCCTTGGGCCCCTGCACTCGCATGGAAGACCTGGAAGAAGCTCCTGGCTCCTGGCTTCAGACTGGCTCAGCTCCAGACATTGCGGCCATCTGGGGAGTGAACCAGTGATGGAAGACCTCTCTCTCTGTCTCTACCTCTCTCTGTAACTCTTTCAAATAAATAAAATAAATCTTTTAAAAAAAAAATCCTTTCCATTTGAGATGATCAGGCCTTTGGGAAGCATTCAGCTTCTCAAAAAGGGCCTTGTGAGCAAGTGACTTTGGAACGCCCTGGCCCCCGCTTACACACACCGCATATCCTAACACGGAAACACGGCAGGGAGCACTTCCCAAAGCGTTTGGGCTATGGAAACTGTATGGTGGGCCCTTTCTTCCTTCTACCACCCTTTGGATCATTCTTTTTGGAACAAACTCTCTGGCCTGGTGTTACAGGTTGAGGACGTCTCCTCTCCTCAACACGTGCAGATGTTTAAATTCTGATGTCTTAATGTTAATGACAGCTGGATGAAGGGTGGAGGTGAGGGCGTCTCTGGGTCACTGGGGATGTGCCCTTGGAATACTGATCATTTTTTGGGGGCGGCACTTTGGCACAGCAGGTAAGGCTGCTGCCTACAGTACCAGCGTCCCATATGGGTGCCAGTTCAAGTCCTGGCTGTTCCACTTCCAATCCAGCTCTCTGCTGTGGCCTGGGAAGGCAGTGGAAGATGGCCCAAGTCCTTGGGCCCCTGTACCTACATGGGAAACCTCGAGGAAGCTCCTGGTTCCTGGCTTTGGATCGGCTCAGCCATTAATGGTCATTTGGGGAGTGAACCAGCAGATAGAAGACCTCTCTCTCTCTCTTTCTGCCTCTGCTTTTCTGTAATTCTGCCTTTCAAATAAATAAATAAATAATCTTTAAAAAAAAAAAAAAGATCATTTTGTGAGTTCAAGATCAGCCTAGGTTTTGTCTCTCTACTTCCCGGCTCACCCCGTGATCATCGTCCACATCCCCTACGAGCAGCCTATGTGGATGCCAGCCCATGGGGCCTCCTGAGCCTGAACAACAACCTGCAAACCAGAAGCTGAAGTAAACCTTCTCTTTCCCAGGACACTCTTCTGGGCTGCTTTATTTAGAGCAACACAAAGCAGAATTAATATACCTGGTGTGGCAGGCTGCAGGCTGACACCCAATATCCATGTCCCCTTCTCCTCCTGCACTGAGTTCCCAGAATCCCCTGCGGCTGGGCAGGAGCCCCGAGGTGCAGGTGGGAGGCAGGATGGGTGCCTGTTCTAGGCTGTGCCCTTAAAGGGAAGAGGCTGGGCTCCCCTGGCCCTGGATGGAGGAGGCAGTGAGCTGTCCGGGGCTGTGGGGAGGGAGGGATATCTGGAAGATGCCATGGCACAGAGTTGGTGCCTGGCTTCTCCCATGATCTCTGGGCTGCCTGTTCCTGCCTCAGCCATGTCCTGCCAGAGACAAGAGCTTCTGTGCTGCTCAAGCCTGCGTGACCGGGGCCCTGCTGTGAGAGCAGCCAGGCCTGTGCCCTCGTGGAGACAGGCAGAGTCCTCTGTGATACAGCCCATGGCCCCACTTCTGATTCCTGGGCACGCACTCGCACACCTGGCAATTGGGCCAAACAGAACCACCTGCAGCCGAGGAGCACGCATCAGGAAATACCTCCACTTCCCCCCCAACCCCGACTCAGAGCCCATGTGTGGCCCAAGCATGGGAGTGAGAGTCAGGTCTGGCTGATCAGCCCATCCACCTCTCACAACAGGCCCTAGCCTGCGGATACCGAGATGGGCCTGGAGCCAAGGCAGCCAAGGAGGATGGCCCTGGGACTCCTGCTAGAGCCATGGGGAGGAGCTCTCTGCTGTAGGAGTGGTAAGATAAAGTGTGCCAGCAGCTGCTAAGGGCCGTCCTGTCCTAACACAGAGAGGAAAGGAGCTGACAGGCTGGAGTGGACTTCTGATGAATTTGTGTAGATGCCCTGGATCCAGCTGCACCTGAAGCAAGCCCAGTGAAACTTTCTCTTTGGCTTAGACCAACATAAACAGCAATTATGTTCCTTCTGACAGTCTTGACCCTCACCTGTGCCCTAACCTCTCCGACCCCTGTGCTTTTGCTCATGCTGTTCACCCAATTTGAATGCCCTTCTCCCAAATCTCTTCCATGTACCCAAATCCTAGGTAAGTTTGGAGACAGCGCTCTCTGCCCATGTAATAGCTGTCCAGTGCCTGATTCTGTGGAGGTGGCAAGATGCCTGAGGACAAGGAAGAAAGCCACATTTCAGGGTGGCCTGGAGGAAAAACAGAGGAAGCCTGGGTTCCTGTCAGCGCCAACCACCCGTCTCCTACAGGCCGCCTGCCTCCACACGGCAGTCTGAGCAGTCATGGTTACTTATAGGGGAACTCAAGCCCAGTGACACTCCTGTGGCTGTGTCACAGTGGGCCATGCATGAAGAGCCTGAGATCTAACCTCAGGCAGACTGGCTCAGTTCCCAGAACCCTGAGGCTAACTCCCTGTATGACCTAGGCAGGGCAGGTCCCCTGACACCCCAGGCACCAGCTTCCGCATGTGCCGAAGTGGCATTCACACATGTGCCAACAGCTCTGCACAGGTGCCCGGACCTCCCCCCACCCCAGAAGGGGACACATTTCCTCCAACATGGACCCTAAAAGCAAGCCAATGACATCATCCACTCATCAGCTGCAGAAACTGCTGCGTGTTCCCAGGCTGGAGGCAAATCTGGCTGTGAGCAGGGCCCGGACTGGTGTGGGGTGAGCACGGTGCCCAGGGGGTGCTACTGGAAATGGCCTCACTCTTGGGTGCCAACATGCATGTGTGCAAATCTGACTACGAGACCCCTTCAGGTCTGCGCTGGGCACCTGCCTTCCCCGTGCTTGTCCTGGTCCTGTGGCTGAGCAGTAGAAGACACAGAGCCCGAGTCCTGACTCCAGACCCCAAGTTCAAGGCAAGTCAGGTGGTGCTTTCCCCTGCGGCCCTGGCGAGACCCTTCTGCCCCGTGTGAGGTTCAGCTTCCCCACATGCTTAGGAAATGTAGTGTGTTGGAGCCTTATGGCCCCACACGACCTGCAACTCAGGTCAGGGCTCCCTTCTTCAAATTCATTCATTCATTATACATATTTGAGGGGTAGAGAGATAGGCAGCAAAAGATCTCCCATCTGCTGGTTTAATCCCCAAATGCCCTGGGCCAGCCAGGAGCCCAGAACTCCATCCGGGTCTCTCACATGGGTGGCAGGGACCCAAGTACTTGGGTCAGCACCTGCTGTCTCCCAGAGTGCACATTAGGAGGAACCTGGATGGGAAGCAGAGTCGGGACTTGAACCAGACATGGCAACACAGGACGTGAGCAACCCAGCTGGTGGCTTAACCCCTGCGCCAAACGTCCACGGAGTGATCCAAGCTCATGCTGTGCCACGCCTCCTGCTCCCCTCAGTGCTGCCACTGCAGCTGCCACGTCACCCAATACTCCACGGTGCATTCGCTCACGACACACCCCCAGGGGAAAATGAGGCCCGAGGACATTAGGCTCTCGTCCAAGGTCGCCCAGCTAAGAAGCCATGCAGCCTAGCGTTAAACCCCAGTGGCGTGGCTCTAGAGGCCAGACAACCTACCAGGACTGGCCAGCTTTTCCTGTAAATGGCTGGAGAGTACACATCTCATACTCTGCCAGTGTGTGCTCGCTGCTGTAATACTCAACTGTCCCACTGTAGCTCAAACACAGCCCCAGACAGAGCCGAAACAAACGGGCTGGCCGGGTTCCAATCACACTTGATGTACAAGAACAGGCTGAGACCGGATTCGGCCCAGGGACTGCAGTTTGCCAACCAATCCCTGTTCTAAGCAAACACAGGACATTGCCTCAGCAGGCCCGAGAGGGATAAATGTGCCCCACCTGGTGACAGCAGAGACCACGCGGGATTAGAGAATTCCCTGCAAAGATCTGAGATACAGGAGGCAGGCAGCGGGTAAGCTACAGATGACTCAGGGCAAAGAGCTCGGAACGAGAGAGCAACAGGGGCTGGAAAAGCAGCTAGGAAGTCTCTGTTTGCGAACAGGGAGAAGAGGTGCAGAAGGAAGGTACCACTGGATGCTTCCAGAACCTTCCAGAAGCCCCTTTGGTCTCTGAGTGCCCTGTGCCGTTCCCTCTGCCTCCTCCCACCCTGCTGTGCCCTCCTGACCATGTGCTTGGCTGCCCTGGGCTCTGGCACCAAGTGACACATGGCTTTCCCCGGGCTCTGCCCACTCGCTCTCGGAGCCAAGCAAGTGTCAGCAGCAAGGTCTGTGGAGGGAAGCACCCCACAGGGTGCAGGTCCCTGGAGGCTTCCAGGCCAGGACGCTCCTGGAGGCCCCCCGCCTCAGCCAGGATGAAGCGGTAAAGACTCTGACTTCACTGCTGAGATGGACTTCCTGGGACATGTTCAACGAGCGCCCCTCCCTCCTCTGCGGGAACCCCCAGTAATGTCCAAATGCCAGGAACCTTCTGGAGGGGGAGGAGAGAGTGCGAGGAAGAGGAGGGAGGACCTGTAGGTTTGAGCCCAGGTCTAAGGAGGAGCCTGACTCCCCAGCACCAGCCAGTGCCTCGGGTGGGGCCCGGCCCCTCCCGCGGGGTTCTGATCTTTGGTCTA